CAGCACAAACATATTGTTGTATTTAATTATGAACAAATATCAAGGGTGAGATGGTGGCTCAGTGGTTAGCACTGTCGCCTCCCAGCAAGAAGGTCGCTGGTTTGAGTCCCAGCTGGGTCAGTTGGCATTTATATGTGGAGTTTGCATGTTCTCCCCATGTCGGCGTGGGTTTCCTTATGCCGAGTTCAGACTGCATGATTTTCAAAGCAGTCGTGTCACATGTTTTCACACTGCTTGACTATCTGGGCTAGCGTTTCATCGCTGCTTTGTTTACACTGCAAGATGGATCGGCGACAGGGACTTTCACATTACATGACTTTACTATAGGAAGAATCGCCGACAACTTCCTCCAAACTACGTCTCACAGCCAAAAACACGTTGTATATCTTTTGTTATTAACTACTTAACGAGAAAGAAGCCTTTAATGGGGTAGAAAATGTACATATTTGCTCACCTGGGTTTAAAGGGAATTAGCCATTTCTCCTCAACATTGATAATAAACTAATTTCTTTCTGTATGAAACGTCAAACAGGCACGGTTGCTCCTGAGTCCTATCAAACCTCCACTAGTTTTTCCTCCATTTCGTGGGTCCAAATAAACCTAAAATGAGCGCTTTTAACTTCTCCCCCAGCCTCCCGCTGGCCTGCCGCAGGTATACACACACGCACACACACACACGCAAGTGAATGCTGCTCTCTCATTGGCTGTAGGCGATCGCTGATGTTATTTTCAGTCAAAACTCAATTCAAACGGCTTGATTTGAATCGCCGACAGCTCCAGATATTTAGCACGCCTAATATCTCGCAGGCATCGGCGATTCTCTCAGATCGCCTCTTTGATAGTTCACACTGCGTGATTTTCACTCACGTGCACGAGCACCAATTTGCCTGTGATTTCAGGAATTTGTCCGCGATTTCTCAAAACCTGTCGGTGAGCCAAAATCGGGGCTAAAATCACGCAGTCTGAACTATGCATTAGAGTGCTCAGGTTTCCCCCAAGGTCCAAAGACATGTGGTACAGGTGAATTGAACTAAATTGTCCGTAGTGTATGAGTGTGAATGAGTGTGTACGGGTGTTTCCCAGTACTAGGTTGCGGCTGGAAGGACATCCCCTGCATAAAACATATATGGTTATAGAATAGTTGCCGGTTCATTCCGCTGTGGCGACCCCTGATAAATAAGGGGCAAAGCCAAAGGAAAATGAATAAATGAATGGATCCTGAGAGAAAAGAGAGTATAAAAGATAGGAAGACAGACTCAGTGAAGGTGGTTGTGAATGTGTGTTAGAGAAAGACACTGTTTCTCTGTCACAATCCAGATCAACTCTCAGATGTTCAAGAATCTGTTTAACAGGAAAACCAGAACCTACAGTACTACACACTTCAGACACCAGTGTTACAGGGCACCTATTATGAAAATGAACTTTTGGAAGCTGTTTGGATATATTTGTGAATACCTGTTTGGTATTATGTGAAACACAACAAGTGTTAACACAACAAATATAAACAAGCAAGTCTCTTTTTTTTTAATTTCCTGATGTACAAAATTTCCCCTATCGCGCATGAGTGAGAGAGACTTCTCTAGACAGGCTTGGCGCATACGCGTTTATTCAGTTCAGCCGTACCCTGCAGAGTATGACAGCACGAAGACTCCGCTACTCTTTTTATACTGCTCAAAAAAATCTATCTTTGTTGCGTGGTATCACTGTGCGCGTATAAAACTGTAAGTAATTATTGTTCCTATCATTCTAGAAGTATTTATAATGTGTCTGGTATAATCAGGGCCGGAGCCAGTTGAACTGCCGCTCTGGGCAGAGGACGATCACGCCGCCCTCAACCCCAATGTGAAAACGAAAGTGACCGGTTATGAAAATGAAGTGAGGTTTCGCGGACCTCTATTCTGCCGCCCTATGCGCAGAAATAACTGAGGACGCGCGGGTGTCGCGGATCTTTAATCTGCCACCCTACGCGCAGATTTAACTGAGGACACGCGGGTGATGATGGAAGTGTCGCTGACGCTGCCCTCTTTATTCTGTCGCCTATGCGCAAATATATCTGAGGACGCGGGTGGTAAGGGGGGCGTCGCGGACACAACTGAGGACGCGGGTGGTAAGTGGGGTGTTGCGGACGCCTGAATATTGTTTATAACTTTGTATATTTGTCACTTTATACCTTTTATGTATATTTACAATTTATTCCTGTTCTTCGACAGAAACCGCACCATATAATCACACAAAAGTGAATGTCGTCATAAAGAAATAAAGGAAATTGGACATGTTTATTCTGGAGTAGCTGCAGTTCTTTCTAACAGAAGAATTAGGCCAGTTGGGTTCCAACCACACAATAGCGTACAGAATATCCCACACCTGAAGTTAAAATAAGATAGTTTTCTCCACCCACCAAGTTGATTCACAGGAGCGTATTAACATGTCTCCATAGTAACACGTATAAACATGTCCACAGAACAGGATTTGCAAAGAAACTGGGATTAAAAGATCTGTTCCAACTCTTTTTCTTTTTCTGGTTTGTTTACTGACTGTTATTGTCCCTTATGTATGTACTCTGACCTCTCTACCAAGTTACCTTTACACACACACACACACACACGTTTGTTTTTGTGAAAAGTGGGGACATTACATAAGTTTCCATTCATTTTTTACTGTCCAAAACGTATAGTGTATTGCCCTCACCCCACCCTACCCCTAACCTTAACCATTACAGGAGTCAGTGTGCAGCTTTACTCTCTGATTAAACTCATCAATGTGGGATTTAATCAATCAATCAAGCCTTTATTTGTCACTACACTTTCGTATAGCGAAATTGGACCCCCCAGACCAGGGGTTTTCAAAGTGTGAGGCGCGCCTCCCCTGGGGGGCGCCAGAGCATGTCAGGGGAGGCGCGGAAAAATATTATATAATAAAAATATAATTATTAAGTTTAATTATTATATGTATTTTTATTATATTTAAACATTTCAATTAAACAAAGCTAAAAAAAATAATCCGTCTAAAATAAGAAAACCTTTTTACCCAGAAGGCCATAGCTGTGAATTCGCTTCTGTTTGGCAAGCCCGCCAATACAGGTATATGCCTGCTAATACAATGGATCGGTTTCTGAGACCCCCCCGATTCAAAGCCTTCAAGTTCAGGGCTTAAACCCAAAAGACAACGATATGATGATCAGTATTTGAGTTTAGGATTTACGTGGACAGGACCAGCTGATGAACCACGACCTTTATGTGTGGTTTGTCAAGATATTTTGGCTAATGACAGCATGAGACCCGCTATACTTCCACTGTTTTGACTGGGATGGACAGTTCTTGGATCTGTTCTATTCATGTTGAACCATCATCCTAGTTTTAAAAACGTTATATTAAAATACTTGTTATTACTCTGTAAATAATTGCACTTTCATGCAAATGATGATAAAAGTGAGTTAAGAGTCTGACATCTGTCTGTGTCTTTATATATATATGCTGTGTATATATATATATATATATATATATATATATATATATATATATATATATATATATATATATATGTGTGTGTGTGTGTGTGTGTGTGTGCGTGCGTGCGTGCGTGTTTGGGAGGAGGGGGGCGCCAATGGATAAGTTGTGTCAAAAGGGAGGCCCACTGTCTTAGACTTTGAAAAACCCTGCCCCAGACCATACACAAAACATCACAAACAACTTTTCAGGGGAGACAGATCTTAGGAGGTAGCATTTAGAAACGAAGAAAGATACATTTGGACAGTTAGGCTAAAAAACACCCCCTCAGCTTGCCCTTGATTAGGACAAAGTGAGAAAAGGGAGAAAAACAGCCCTATCTTAGCATAAGCACACCGGCAAGACACAACATAGACAGAGGGGATGGGAACAGGGGTAATGGAAAACAGTCCGTTGAGTGCGGGCAGCCAGCTGGTCCAGCAGCCATCCGGCGCAAGTCACAGCCCCGCCCACGCCCCACGTGGGTAAAAGCACACAAAGGCGTTTGGATGGGGATCAGTGGTGAATGTTTATCTGTAGATATGTGTGTGTATATATGTAGATGTGTGTGTGAGCCTGCATAGTCCAGAGTCCCGCAGGTGTCCTTGACAGGGGCAGGAATTTCAGAGCGTCCGCTTATCTTGCTTATCCCAGGGAGTTGTTTACTTCCAGCCGAGGCTGTCTGGCAGGAGTAAGAGGAGAGCCGAAAAAAAAAGACAGTAAGATACTTCCACTTTAGGTCAATATCTGCCAATTTCACAGATATTTAACGTCCATCACTCGTCTCCCGATCTGGCCAAAATTTGTTGCAGAGCCGCTAGCTTCACCTCGATGGTTTCCAGTTTGCAAGTAGACGTGCAAAGTAAAACAGAGCAAAGTTAAATGTATGTGTATGCAAATTGTATAATGGCATTTGTGTGTGACTCGTTGCATAAAACCTTGAATAAACTCCACCATAAATATCAACCCAAGCTCATTCTGGAAACGTAGCCCCGCGGACGTTTCTGGAGAGCGCGATTTACGTGGCCGGAGGTACGTAAAGGCCGCGTTTGTTTTTTTTCGAGCGAACGCCGCGGGGTGGTGTGGCGCCGCTCCGCCCCTTCTCTTCGCGCTCGCCGGCCGACGGCTCGCCTCTGAGTGGAGGGCTTTCCCGACGCAATCAGTTTGTCCGCCTAGCTCACAGTGTTGCGTCGGCGGAGCGGAGGCCCCGGACGAGGAGGAGGAGCTGGCCGCGGTGGACGACGACCGGGATCGAGTCCGGGGAACAGCAGGTTCCGGAAATCAGGTGAGACGAAAAACGGAATCCGAAAAATGAGGGCGAGAACGCGGCGGGATCCGAAAACGCGGTCGAAATCGAAGACGAGGGCTTTTGCTTTTTTTTTTTTTTTTTTCCCCGATCCGTCGGCTTTTTGCGCGAGAACGGCGCGGGCGAATCCGCGAAAACAAAAAACGCTTGAATACGTACCTCCCGGGACGTAAATCGCGGTCCGCAGAAACGTCCGCGGGGCTACGTTTCCACAATGAGCCCAGGTTGATAAATACATCAAATAAACTTACTTGCTATATTTGACTCATAAACTGCACCTCTGCTGCTGTTTATCTGACGTGACGCAGAAGTAGAAGCAGACACGCACATGGGAAGTATGAACCAGCTCATATGCATTTAAAGGCACAGGCTACAAAAAGCAGCTACACCTTGCTTTGAGCTCAAAATGGGCATATTCAGGGGGGTAAAATAAAGAATCTGATGAGTATTTTGACCTAAAACTTCACGGACCCATTCTAAAGAAGCAAAAGACTTTTTTTTTTACGTCTAGTAAAAAGTGCAAAATTGAAGACCTATAATCCTCAGCAATGGATTTTAAAAAACTTTGATGATTTTCTGTTGATGCAAGCAGTTTAACATGGTAAAATCTTCAAACAATTGACTATATCATTAAAATAGAAGTAAGGAAAGACCGACTCAGTGAAGGTGGTTGTGAATGTGTGTAGATGTGTGTTTTTAAGAGGATCAGAGAAAGACACTGTTCCTCTGTCACAGTCCAGATCAACTCTCACACGCTCAAGACTCTGTTTAACAATGAAGCCAGAACCAAAAGATAGTTCACACCGCACACTCCAGACACCAGTGCTAAAGAACCCCTTCCTCTGGTTTGATGCTGTAGTTACTCCAAAATTCCAGTATAAACTTTCTTTGACCTCCACATCCCAGCAGTGTTTCCCTGAGATGAAACCCTCTGAACCCAGAACACAGTACATTTGGTCAAACCTCTCCGGATTATCAGGAGATGGCTGTGTGTTCCTTCTATTTCTCAAAGTGGTCAGATCATCAGACAGGATTAGACCTGGATGAGCAGTGTTTGGATCCAGAATTACAGGAGCTGAAGAGACAAAATCACATAATACATTTGATTATATTATTTATTCTTATTATTAATATTATTATTATACAATTACTGTATTCTATACGATAGCACAGCTTTGCTGCACGTGTTAGCACCATCACGTAATGACATTACATCATTATTCAGCATCTTTTCGCAACAAATCGACCCGCTTTTGACAACTTTCTCCCAACATTTGTTGGCACCAATAAGAACTTGGTCATAACTTTAGAGCAAATGATGAGAAGTACATTAATCTTTTCCCTGGTAAGCTTGAAACATCTCATCTGTCAACCTGGAGTGAATATTTGACCAGCTTTAGAACTTTACACTCCTTTCCATTTAGTTCCAATGGTGACGCAACTGAAATTTTGATTTGGTTAGTTACATACACCCAGCAAGCATTTTTTGTTTTTAACAGTTGCCCAATAGACCTCTAAACATAGTCGTCTTGGCTAAAACAAAGCTAAATTTGGGCTGTCAGTGAACATCTAATAGACATCTAAGCATAGCCCAAGAATAGGCTAGTCGTCAAATAAACAGAAATGAATGACTACACATATACAGGGCCCTATCATACACCCGGCGCAGTGTAGACGCGGCGCAATAGTCTTTTGGTAGTTTCAGCTTGGCGCAAGAGTGGTTTTGAGGCGTTGCGCTACGCTGTTTAAATAGCAAATTCATTATCGCTCATTTGTGCGTCCATAGGCGTTCTGGTCTAAAAAGGGAGGCGTTCTGAGGCGGACCGCTGGCGCGTTGCTATTTTGAGAAAGTAAAAAAAAAATCATTTTGAAAACGAAATGCATTGATTTTATTTTTTTGCTGTTTGAAACAACTAACACTCATTTGGGGGATGGTGGGTCTCTAGCGGGGGGGGTCTTTGGAACGACCGCTGGCAAACGCTATGGATGAGCTCACCGGGGGCGTTGGTTGGACCAGGGGGAGAGCCCACCAAGCCATGCCCGGATAGAGACCACTCTCTCCGGCATGACCCGCGCCTGGAGGGGGGGGTAGCGCGTCCCTGGGTTTCGCTGACCTGCCGTCGAGTTTTCGATAACAGACTCAAATGAAGGACTTAGTGCAATTTTCGATTTCGCGGTTGAACGAACCAGGGGTCTAACGAGGGCCCCGTTGCCCCAAAACAAGCGTTCAAACCCGGGCAAACCAAGTGGGCGCTGCTGCCCTGGTCCTACCAAGGACCCAGGCCTCAATGGCCAGCAAAGCTACCCCAAAACAAGCGTTCAAACCCGGGCAAACCAAGTGGGCGCTGCTGCCCTGGTCCTACCAAGGACCCAGGCCTCAATGGCCAGCAAAGCTACCCCAAAACAAGCGTTCAAATCCGGGCAAACCAAGTGGGCGCTGCTGCCCTGGTCCTTCCAAGGACCCAGGCCTCAATGGCCAGCAAAACTACCCCAAAACAAGCGTTCAAATCCGGGCAAACCAAGTGCGCACTGCTGCCCTGGTCCTTCCAAGGACCCAGGCCTCAATGGCCAGCAAAGCTACCCCAAAACAAGCGTTCAAATCCGGGCAAACCAAGTGGGCGCTGCTGCCCTGGTCCTTCCAAGGACCCAGGCCTCAATGGCCAGCAAAACTACCCCAAAACAAGCGTTCAAATCCGGGCAAACCAAGTGCGCACTGCTGCCCTGGTCCTTCCAAGGACCCAGGCCTCAATGGCCAGCAAAGCTACCCCAAAACAAGCGTTCAAACCCGGGCAAACCAAATGCGCTCTGCTGCCCTGGTCCTTCCAAGGACCCAGGCCTCATTGGCCAGCAAAGCTACCCCAAAACAAGCGTTCAAACCCGGGCAAACCAAGTGGGCGCTGCTGCCCTGGTCCTACCAAGGACCCAGGCCTCAATGGCCAGCAAAACTACCCCAAAACAAGCGTTCAAATCCGGGCAAACCAAGTGCGTACTGCTGCCCTGGTCCTTCCAAGGACCCAGGCCTCAATGGCCAGCAAAGCTACCCCAAAACAAGCGTTCAAACCCGGGCAAACCAAATGCGCTCTGCTGCCCTGGTCCTTCCAAGGACCCAGGCCTCATTGGCCAGCAAAGCTACCCCAAAACAAGCGTTCAAACCCGGGCAAACCAAGTGGGCGCTGCTGCCCTGGTCCTACCAAGGACCCAGGCCTCAATGGCCAGCAAAACTACCCCAAAACAAGCGTTCAAATCCGGGCAAACCAAGTGCGCACTGCTGCCCTGGTCCTTCCAAGGACCCAGGCCTCAATGGCCAGCAAAGCTAACCCAAAAACAAGCGTTCAAATCCGGGCAAACCAAATGCGCACTGCTGCCCTGGTTCTACCAAGGATCCGGGCCTCTTGACCAGCAAAGCTAACCCAAAAACAAGCGTTCAAATCCGGGCAAGGCCAGTGGTCTGAACACCATGGGAGTCAGGGTTCCATGGCAGGCCACCGCGCGCAAAGGCCTATGTGGGTCACCAACGGTAAGCGATGGGTCAGAAAGAGCCAGGGGGGGGGGGTCTTTGGTGATCAGTGCTTGCCCGGGATAAGTGAGGGTGTATTGGGCAGAGAGCGCGTGACATGAAGCCTCGGAGGCCAATGGTTCACCAGCGGCACCATTTACGCACCAGCTGAGACCTAAGTGCGCTCACCGGGGGGCGTTCGTTGGACCAGGGGGAGAGCTCACCAAGCCATGCCCGGAAAGAGACCACTCTCTCCGGCATGACCCGCGCCTGGAGGGGGTGGTAGCGCGTCCCTGGGTTTCGCTGACCTGCCGTCGAGGTTTCGATAACAGACTCAAAAGAAGGACTTAGTGCAATTTTCGATTTCGCGGTTGAACGAACCAGGGGTCTAACGAGGGCCCCGTTGCCCCAAAACAAGCGTTCAAACCCGGGCAAACCAAGTGGGCACTGCTGCCCTGGTCCTTCCAAGGATCCAGGCCTCTTGGCCAGCAAAGCTAACCCAAAAACAAGCGTTCAAATCCGGGCAAACCAAATGCGCACTGCTGCCCTGGTCCTTCCAAGGATCCAGGCCTCTTGGCCAGCAAAGCTAACCCCAAAAACAAGCGTTCAAATCCGGGCAAACCAAATGCGCACTGCTGCCCTGGTCCTTCCAAGGATCCAGGCCTCTTGGCCAGCAAAGCTAACCCCAAAAACAAGCGTTCAAATCCGGGCAAACCAAATGCGCACTGCTGCCCTGGTCCTTCCAAGGATCCAGGCCTCTTGGCCAGCAAAGCTAACCCCAAAAACAAGCGTTCAAATCCGGGCAAACCAAATGCGCACTGCTGCCCTGGTCCTTCCAAGGATCCAGGCCTCTTGGCCAGCAAAGCTAACCCAAAAACAAGCGTTCAAATCCGGGCAAACCAAATGCGCACTGCTGCCCTGGTCCTTCCAAGGATCCAGGCCTCTTGGCCAGCAAAGCTAACCCAAAAACAAGCGTTCAAATCCGGGCAAACCAAATGCGCACTGCTGCCCTGGTCCTTCCAAGGATCCAGGCCTCTTGGCCAGCAAAGCTAACCCAAAAACAAGCGTTCAAATCCGGGCAAACCAAGTGGGCGCTGCTGCCCTGGTCCTACCAAGGACCCAGGCCTCAATGGCCAGCAAAGCTACCCCAAAACAAGCGTTCAAATCCGGGCAAACCAAGTGCGCACTGCTGCCCTGGTCCTTCCAAGGATCCAGGCCTCTTGGCCAGCAAAGCTAACCCAAAAACAAGCGTTCAAATCCGGGCAAACCAAATGCGCACTGCTGCCCTGGTCCTTCCAAGGATCCAGGCCTCTTGGCCAGCAAAGCTAACCCAAAAACAAGCGTTCAAATCCGGGCAAACCAAATGCGCACTGCTGCCCTGGTTCTACCAAGGATCCAGGCCTCTTGACCAGCAAAGCTAACCCAAAAACAAGCGTTCAAATCCGGGCAAGGCCAGTGGTCTGAACACCATGGGAGTCAGGGTTCCATGGCAGGCCACCGCGCGCAAAGGCCTATGTGGGTCACCAACGGTAAGCGATGGGTCAGAAAGAGCCAGGGGGGGGTCTTTGGTGATCAGTGCTTGCCCGGGATAAGTGAGGGTGTATTGGGCAGAGAGCGCGTGACATGAAGCCTCGGAGGCCAATGGTTCACCAGCGGCACCATTTACGCACCAGCTGAGACCTAAGTGCGCTCACCGGGGGCGTTCGTTGGACCAGGGGGAGAGCTCACCAAGCCATGCCCGGAAAGAGACCACTCTCTCCGGCATGACCCGCGCCTGGAGGGGGTGGTAGCGCGTCCCTGGGTTTCGCTGACCTGCCGTCGAGGTTTCGATAACAGACTCAAAAGAAGGACTTAGTGCAATTTTCGATTTCGCGGTTGAACGAACCAGGGGTCTAACGAGGGCCCCGTTGCCCCAAAACAAGCGTTCAAACCCGGGCAAACCAAGTGGGCACTGCTGCCCTGGTCCTTCCAAGGATCCAGGCCTCTTGGCCAGCAAAGCTAACCCAAAAACAAGCGTTCAAATCCGGGCAAACCAAATGCGCACTGCTGCCCTGGTCCTTCCAAGGATCCAGGCCTCTTGGCCAGCAAAGCTAACCCAAAAACAAGCGTTCAAATCCGGGCAAACCAAATGCGCACTGCTGCCCTGGTCCTTCCAAGGATCCAGGCCTCTTGGCCAGCAAAGCTAACCCCAAAAACAAGCGTTCAAATCCGGGCAAACCAAATGCGCACTGCTGCCCTGGTCCTTCCAAGGATCCAGGCCTCTTGGCCAGCAAAGCTAACCCCAAAAACAAGCGTTCAAATCCGGGCAAACCAAATGCGCACTGCTGCCCTGGTCCTTCCAAGGATCCAGGCCTCTTGGCCAGCAAAGCTAACCCAAAAACAAGCGTTCAAATCCGGGCAAACCAAATGCGCACTGCTGCCCTGGTCCTTCCAAGGATCCAGGCCTCTTGGCCAGCAAAGCTAACCCAAAAACAAGCGTTCAAATCCGGGCAAACCAAATGCGCACTGCTGCCCTGGTCCTTCCAAGGATCCAGGCCTCTTGGCCAGCAAAGCTAACCCAAAAACAAGCGTTCAAATCC